AACTCGAACCATAACAAAACAGACACCCACTACAAAAACAAAACGTAAAGATGAAAACCATAACCATATTACAATAATCATTCCCTAAACAAACTCCCTAGATATTACAAAATTCTTTTTGTTCAGCATTGGCATGACAATGCTCACATGTAATCTCACGATCGTCCAAGTTGTTAACAACATTCGATGCTTTGTATATGGTGGAATTGCAAAAGGAAAAGTCATGGATCGAAACCACTTTCCTTCGCAGCCACATACCTCGCATAAAGGATCTCACCCTTTTCTTACAATCCCCTAAATCGATGGACGTTTTCAATGAACAAAACATCTCAAATGCATGATTTCATTTCTCCTCATCTTCACTAACCATCAACAACATGCAACACACGTACTTGGCATCAATGTGATCCGACAGTGCAACATTTTTTAAATTTTCAAGAGCAAGATTTTCCCTCAAAGAACAGCAATTTTGTTGGAAATGCATTACCATTCCCTCACGGTACAAAAGTTCTGGGTTGCCTGCTTTCCTGCAACGTCTCAAGAACAATGCTTGTCGGTACATGCTATAGATTTCTTCTGGTGACATTACAAAGTTATAAAGTGTTCCCATGTATTGATCTTCATGTCCGAATTCACATCTATTGTCCACTCGATGAGAAAACAGCCTTTCCTTGGTAACCGAGTTCACATGCAGACACGCAAACTTCTCTAAGGAGGATTTTTTATACACAGACTCATGCTCTGCAAGATGGAGTAATTCCTTGCAAGTGAACTTGACATTGGATATGTCTTCGATCGAATGGGACGCTACCCTGCCCAAAATCTCCAATACCAAATCAGAGGGAAGTGTTGTGAGCGACGGATGTCGTTGTTTTTCAAATTTTGCACGCTTTGCAGATGATGATTCGGCCATCATCTCCACAGCACAAAATTATAAAACTCAAACAAATCTTATTTTTCGAAAAGAATAACGTAAAAGGAAGTGTTGTAGGGTTTAGGGTCTGAAAACTGTATTGTATACTAAGTTCAAACTGACAATTGAAAACCACATTACCCATACGACGATTGGGAAGGCATCCGCTGAAAAATCCAACACCTATGTTTAGTTTTGGGATTAAACACGCATTAACTGAAAATACACTTATGTTTCGTTGGCATTTAATGTTCCATTCAACTTGTATAAATTCTGTCTTTTCATTTCTAAGATACAGTAAAGAACAAAATGTTTAAATTCAAGTGTCTGTTAAAATGCCACTGCAATGACTTGTGTTATGATGTTAATTGAATTAATACCACTCTTCAATCTACTTAACCGTGTGTATCTTTCGTTTATAATTTACAAAAGACACGTTGTTGCATATTCAAACATTATAACTTTTAACTTCACAAAGCTAATAATCCAAGAACAAAGAAGTTCAATCGTTTACATGTACGTTCTTTCCTCGATTTTTGCATTGTTTTTTTGCACTCACATTCAGAAAATAAGTGCTTTGGTAGTGGACATGAAGATCATTATGGAAGCTCCTCGAGGATCACTCAATGACGTGTCTCATATTTCCAATGAAGAATTTGGGAAAAAGAGCAGCAGTGATAAGACAAATGCCCAAAAGCTATACAATAATTAAAGTGTCAAGGAATACGAAAAGGCTTCATAATAAAATTCATTAAAAAAGCAAAATAAATAAAATAAGAGAAACCTTTCTGTTACATATGAACGTGTTATGCATATCCACTGTATGTATTTATTATAATGACAAACAAATTTATCCCTATAGAAAAAATTATGTCTGTAAAGCAACTAAAACGCCTATATGCTGAAGTAGGAGGTGTTTGTGTTCCTTAATCATTAACCAAAACTGCAACTCCTACATCATGAAATTATGAAAGACAATTCATTATCTTTGCGATTATAAATGCAATTGCAGAAAGCCAATATGACCAACAGAAGAAGTGCAATCGTTTTACGTTTTAGACACACATTTTCTCAACCAAAACCATAATTTTAAGTCATGAGTTGATTTAAAATATTTGATTTTAAACCATGATGACTAACAGGAGGAAGAGCAATCGTTTTGTGCCTCAGACACACGTTTTCTCAAACTGACCGTTGGTTATTGGTCATTAACTTCATTATTGGTTCAAATTTTGGAAGAAGGACAACAGCGAGAATAATGATTTATAAAATAAGCAATAAAAAAAATAACTGATGAAAAAGTTTGGCAGTTAACAGGAGGACACTACTATTGGATATTTTTCCTTTCCATAAAAAACTTAAATATTTGCGGTTTCAGAACTATATTGATAAAATAAAATTCGTTGACACTATAATTGACTTGGAATATTTTACAAAATCAAATATATAAGTTAATATAAACTAATAAACATACATCAGTTAATCAAAAGACAAAAACATGTTTATAACAAATAATCAGAATCAAATGTGTTGCACAATAACATCATACTGCATCCTATTTTACAAAATCGAATCCATAAAGTTTCCATTCATGACAACATATTATATTTAAAACTTAACAGCACAACAAACGTAATTTAACAATTACACGTCAAACAAAATAAAAACACTTCAAAATTTGCCTTGCAAAATTTGCACGTGCAATTTCGAAATTCAAATTCATCCATCTTCCACACCAATGGTGCACCATTTTTCTTCTCTGAATGACCTACTTTGAAACTGCAGAAAGGTATGTGATCATAAGAAATCTCCTTACGCATCCATAGTCCTCGGATAAAGCTCTTCACTCGTTCCCTAAATTGCAGCAAACGATCTGCATTCAATAGCGAATTGAAAATTTCAAACCCCTCAGCTTTCTGATTTTCTTCAACCCCACACATCAATATCATGCAATAGACATACATAGCACCTTCGTGTCCTTTTTGTGCTGGTTCTTTGATGGAGCGAAGAGCCAATTCTTGCGTATCAGAAGTGGATGTGTGTCTAAAATACATCACCACGCCATCACGGTACAAAACTTTAGGGTTGCCACTCACCCTACAACGTTTTAAGAACAATGCTCGACGTTCATCATTGAAGCTTTTTGGAGTTTGAAAACAAACATCGTGTGCATTCGGCTTGTGCTCCGCAACACCATCAAAATGATCCCGGATGCTGACCTGATGAAGAAATGGTTTTTTTTTTGTAATCCATTCCAATGGACACAATGCAAATTTATCCAACGAAACATGTTTATAAACATAATCATCTTTCGCAAGTTGTCCAAATTCTTTGCACGTTAGTTTAATGTTGGCAAGATCCTCTATGGAATCAAAAGCCACCTTTCCAAAGATCATCAGCAACACATCAGTGGGGAGAGATTGGAGCGAATCCCGATCGTAGATCTGAATCTTCCTTCGCTTTGCAGCAAATGAATCAGCCATTGAACCAAAAAAAAATGCACAATGAAAAGGATGATGTTTAAGAGAACATGCAATGGTTTTCCAAACAATCAATAAATCCACTATATAATGACGCTGTAAAAGCCACGGAAGACACAACGTTTGTTGTTAAAATGCATTTATTACTTGGTTGTCTTTTCTTCCACAACAAAAGGAGTGTTTATAAAATTAGATGGTAATCTTATATATTGAAAATAACAAAACATTTAATTTCAAGTGTCTTTTCAAAATCCAGTGCATATTTTATGACTTTCAAAAATTGATGTCAGATGGTATTTGTTCAACTTCCCTTAATCAAAGTTACGGTATTTGTTCTTTAGAGACAGAAGAAGTAGGTCATTATGGGTTTGACGTAAATCATTTATTAAAAAAACGATTATTTTAAGTCATAAGTTGTTTTAACAGTGTGTTTCCTCGATTTATCCATTCAAATTCGGAAGGAAGTTCTTTTATCATAAATGCAATTGAACAAAGCTAACGATGACAACAGAAGAACTTCAATCGTTTATTTGTTTCACTTTGCCATTTTCTCAAACACATGATTATTATAAGTCTTTTCGTGTTTTGAACAGGGTGTTTCCTCGATTTCTCCATTAAAAATCACAAAGAAGGGCCTTCGTTATTGGTCATTAATATCATCATTGAAGAGGTTATCTCCCGACACATCAAACCTTGCACGCTTCATCCAAGAAAGTGACACTCATTACTGATACTGTCTTGGAAAAACAAACAATTGAAATATTTTGGTGGAACTCTAACCGCACACATTTTTTAAGGGATCAGCCATCATGGAAAGTTGAAGCTACATCGTTCCCAACAGGTTAATTATTACCACCATCACACATACGATCTGCATAATATGGCTTATTTATTTGGCGCTTCGTTTATCTAGAAATCACACTAATTTAATCATTAAGCGGGTGACTCTCAGATTGAAATCCATCAACAGCAAAGCGTGCAAGGTATTATAGTCCAAGTCATGGTGACTCTCAGATTGGAATCCATCAACAGCAAAGCTCATAGATCACATGAATTAAAATCATGGTTTAGATAGTAAAAAAATGAGGAATATTTTACATGAAAATCTAATCCTAATAATGATTCTAAGTACATATTTGCAATTCTGATGATAACTCTATCTGTATTAATTTTCTGCATTGTATGATTCACAAAATCGCTTCAATTCATTGCTATTACAGACTCGATATTGTTCTAAACAATTTTGTGCTGTGGTGTTTCGAATTATAATGGTTGCTGTTTTGATGTTAATTAAAAAAACATAATAGTAGGTGCATTACAATACCAATGTCATGCTAAATTTCTAACCGGCATTTAACTTGGCTAATTACAAAACAAACATGTAAAACATTTCAAACACAGTCAAATTCATTTCAAACAATATACGATGAACAATATAAAAGAAACACTAATAATATACAACTATTTGTAAATCCAAAAACTTCATAAATTCACTTGAAAAACAATTATCCGTCATAGACACTGTCAATCAAAATGTCAAATAATTACAAAGCAATCCTAACTATTTTCTGTTGCACTGGCTTCCAATGGTACCACAACAACAATGGCTACACATCATCATTCTCCTTCGCTGTGTCTCGGACCTCAGCATCGAAACTACAAAAGAAAAAATTCAAAATAACAAAACAAAACAAATTGGTAATCTATCAGTACACATTTCGCATCCTAATACATTGCGATATTAGGATAGTTATGGGCAAAACACAGAAAAAATTTGGTGCAGCACTTAACTCTTTCTCCAGTTTGATCTTTTTCAATGGTCGCACAACTGAACAATTAAATTTGTCTTCCATAGAATCATTATAATTCTCAGACGGTGTCAACAAAGTCAAAGAAACGTCATCATCATTTGTACTGCCACAAGTCTGGCTTTCAAAATCCTGGAAAGAAATAAAAAAATTTAATTTACATCATAAGTAATTAGATTACATTAGACAAAGAACACATGTATATTGACAATAAATCTCATATAATTCGCTAATACTGCGACTTTTTCTGGTTCTGATGGAACCATACAGTTATCAACAGCATCATCAAATGTTGTGTCCTCCTGGAAAGAAAAAAAATAATTTTAATTAAAACAGAACAAAATGCTAAGTAAAAAAAATAAAAGGAACAGTTTATTAAAAAAAAATGAACGACTATTTTAAGAGGAAAAGACACACATTTACGTCAACAACAAACTTGAGGAACGCTGCAACAATCGATTCATCGCAGCAAACTTTTGCTACTTGATATCTCGACTCCCTGTATGCGTGTAAATTATTTTTTTTCACATTCACCTTAAACAACATGGATTTTCCATTCAGACCGTTCAACTCAGATGGATAAGTTTCTAAATCAGCACCCTGCAAAAAATATGTTGTACAAAGTTAATTTAAATAATAGCAACTTCAAAAGGATAAAACTCTACGGTTATCAAAATACAAAGGAGTGACAACCAAACCCTTTTGAAATGATTCTCACGTAAATCGACAACACTCATACCCAGCAAAGCCACACAGTCTTTATCGAATAGTATGAACGAAGCAGAATCTGTACCATCAACCACTCTCACTTGAACACTAAATCTGCAAAACGTCAACAATGGTTGTCTTACATTCGCATATAAAAAAAAACAACTTTTATGCAAATAGTATAAGAAAAAAAATTAACTCACTTTGGATGATAATCCGACCAATGTTTCTGGCAGTTATTACAATACCACTTCTCAAAATCTTCAGAAACAGAATACGGACATCTCTTGCATGATTTGTACCACCAGTTGTACTTGTTCTCAATCGACTTTATGGTTCCATAAGTGATGCATGTTGTGACCTCACTGCAATCCTTTATATCATTGATACACTTCCTCTCAGTATCCTTTAAGAAATCATTCTCAAAAGAATACGATGATTGGCTCGACAACTGAGTCAACAATTGACTGCTGTCCACAAGATCAGACGAAAGACACCTAAAAATAATTAAACAGAAAATAGTCAGGACACATGCCAACATCACCGCATGAAAGGGAAATCGATTTCATTTCTCAATTTACACTACAAACATAAAGAACAACACACCACACCTTTTTCTAAAGGCCGCTATCTCAGGAACACTGGAATCAGTGATGATCCTTGTTGTATACTTTGTATTTGTTATTCCTATCTTACATATACAATAAAATATACAATACACAGATATACAAAAAAAAATGCCACATAGCTAACGAACGAAAGACATGAAAAAATACCCTTGAAACCCTTTATTCTCGCAAGCTGAATGATTATAACATTCTGAGCAGAGTAATTACTCGCCAAGAAAGTCTGCACTTCGTCAACGTACTGCTCCCACAAAGTACACTCAAGCTTCTTCCCACTATTTTTGCAGTGATAAGAAGGAACATGCAATATATTTTAAGCACACACATAACACAGTGATATATTTCACAAAAGCATTCCATATCGACAAAGGGTAATACCTGAGATTGTCCAGCTCCAACACAACCATTTTTGTTTTTCTACCAGCGATTACATGCTCGCGAACTTCGCCTATACCATATAGCAAACCAATAACATCTGCACGAAAAAGAAGGACGGCTTACGACAATGTTATCAAAACAAAAAATAGTGTTAAAGACAAAAAAACATTACCCACTAAATAAGGAGAGCCATGTCCTTCATTCGCAATGGTGTCAAACTGAACAAAATCAAATCAATGGACAGGAATCACAGCATCAGCAATGAATGTAAGATCCGTCCTGAGGTTAAAAGACAAGCGATAGTCGTGTCTAGTTGGCCTATAATTATCATTATTTAATCCAACCCCAAAATTTTTAATAAAATAAGCCTATCCTTCACGAATTTTTTCCGCACTTGCAAAGAACCTTTAACAGTGGCATGGACCCATCCCCTCTACAAAAATACACGTGAAGAAATCGTTCATCCAAAATGAAACGTAAACAGAGACAACAAAACAAAGTAAAAAAATGAGAGTGTATTTACCTGTTCATCCAACAGAACCATCTCCAAGTTGTCATCTAAATTACGACGCTGAAAATTAGGAACTTTCCAACTCCTCAGTACCCTCACCTTAATCCTCCAATCCTCCTTGGTAGGGTTAAGGTCCCTTATGAAATCATATTTGGAGAACATAATGTAGAACAAAAGGGTACAAATAGAAAAAAGAGAAGCAAAATGAATCCGTACTTGGAGCTACGAAATGGACGAAGCCTGTAGAAGAAAAGGCTGCGAATAAAAAAAATGATTATGGGTTTAGGCTTTGGAAGTGGAGGTAGGTTTTCGTGATTTCGTGAGCAAAAGGAGAGTTCCCAATTACATATATCTTATTTATAGGGAAAGTCAGAATTTATTTATTTTAAAAAATTTGAGTGCTTGTAGAATACACTTCACCATTACCAATGCAGAAAATAGTGGAGGGAGTTATACAACTGTTTGCCACAAACGAATTTTGAATTTCAAATATTATCCCACCCTTTTTACAATTTTTTTTTTGCGAAAAGTAAAAGATCTCCAAAATAGGCAACTTTTCAAACTCTTCTCAAGTGTGAACACAAAGCTAAGGATGAAGGACAAAGCGACAAGTCAGCAAAGTTTCCAATAGTGGATTTAAGATTATATTTATTAAGATTTGAGATAAATAAATAAACAATTGGGGAGAGGGAAGAGGGGAACAATGCTTTATGTCTTTCTTTGTATAAAGTTGCATTGCATCAACCCCTTCTTGGATTAATTGACTCATTTTTGTCTCTCTTTAGCTAATATCATACAAAAACAAAAGATAAAAAAGAAAATGTTGGCATCAACCCAGAATCTCTAATTATTTAGAGAACAACCCACTAGCTCCAATGTTCTCAGTAAAAGACAAAACAAACCTTCTATGAACTAATATAACAATAACTTAAATTCAAATACAGTACCATTTTGAGACATTTTAGAAGGGATTTAAAGTCTTAATCCAGCAATAAACAGATTAAAATATTTTTAAAAAAAAGAAAAGAAATAAATGAAGTAAATCTCTCTTTCTTCGTGAAAATTGATTGAGAAGGTGGTGATAAATGGAGAAGAAACAAAGAGATTGAGACCGTAATAATAGAGCAGAGATAGAGGAGGTACGCGAATATGTAAAAAATGGAAACTTTTGCCATGTGTCACTCCCTGCTTAATTCTGAGGTTTCTGTTCACACTATATGCACCTGCAAACTTTCCTTCTTTGGTAAGTTGGAAAAAGTTTTTTCTTTTAAAAATCGAAAATCAGTTTTTAAATTCAAAAAAATAAAAACAATTGTGGTGGCAGACAAGTCATTGAATGTCCCATTGGAATTGGTCATCTGATTTAATTGCTTTTTACGTTGGAAATCTAAAATTTAAATTTTGAAATGGAATGACTCAGCTGTTTTAATTTCTCATCTAATCTAAAAATTCAAATTTTGAAATGGAACGACTCAGCTGTTTTAATTGCTTATTGCACATCTGATCTAAAATTCGAATTTTGAAATGGTTTCAAATTTTGAATTTAAAATATGGTTGGTGGGAAAAGATTTGGAGAGTTTTGGGTGGCATTCATTTTGTATAAATAGAGAAGTTGTGTTTCTTATTTTTTTTAGCTTGCCTACGATTTCTTTCTTCATTTCTGTTTGTAGGGGTTGTTGTGTTGGTATTATTTTTTGTTTTCTTTGGCTTTATCCGATTCGTTTCATATTTTAGTGGAAGGTCTTCTTCTGCAAATGTGCCAGGATTGAGGAAAGTGTTTGTTGATCTTAGCAATGCTATCTTCTTATAAACAAGACGTAAATAATCTTTATGATTCGTTTTCTTTTTTTATACTAATTATCTTTTTTTCATTTTGTAGGGCGGAAGTTTTCATCGTATTTCATTCTGTGTGGTTCTTGCCTACGTTTTTTTTTCCTTCGTTCGTATGTGTAGCAGATGTTGTATGATTATTATTTTTGTTTACCTTATAAACAAGTTGGTATGAATTCGTGTTCTTTTTTTTGTATACTAATTCTCTTTTTTTCGTTTTGTAGGGCTGAAGGTTTCGTCGTATTTCATGCTGTGTGGTTCTTGCCTATATTTTTTTTCTTCGTTCGTATGTGTAGCTAATGTTATATTATTATTATTTTTGTTTACTTTATAAACAAGTTGCTATGAATTAGTTTTCATTTTTTGTATACTAATTCCCTTTTTTCGTTTTGTAGGGCTGAAGGTTTCGTTGTATTTCATGCTGTGTGATTCTTGCCTACATTTTTTTTTTCTTCATTCATATGTGTAGCTAATGTTATATTATTATTATTTTTGTTTACTTTACAAGGAAGTTGTTATGAATTAGTTTTCATTTTTTGTATACTAATTCTCTTTTATTCATTTTCCAGGGCTGAAGGTTTCATACTACTGTGATTAGTTATTTACATAGTAAACGCCCTGAATGCTGCGTAATGCTTTCCTACGTTTTTTTTTGCTACCAGATACAAATAATTGAATGGTAATCAATGGAATAAATGTCAACGGGTGAAGAGTTTAAAATTTATCTGCATCGAGGGTCCTTCTTCTGTTTGCTACGATGGAAGAAAGGGTTTGTCGATCTTTGCAATACTACTGCAAAAGTTGCAAGGATTTTTTAAGGCTTGCTGGGGATATTTTTTGTATTCTGCGAGTTATGAATATATTTTCTTCGTGCTTGATAATTTAAGAACGTCTCTGATGACGATTTGGGATTATTATTTTTTGCTGTTGTTGAACTATATTTTATGCTGCATCTGTGTGGTGTTTAGTTATGGTGCATGATGTTTGAATTTGTTATAATGTAAATATTGGAATTTGTTGATGTTGTTGTAAAGCCATTTGATGCTTAACAATCATGTATTAGGCATTTTCGTTGAGGTTTAATTAATATAAATATAAATGCTGCACTTAAACGATGTAAGATAAGATAAAATTTCAATCGTTGTCCAGTATTTAACGCTCCGTGTTTCAGTTTATTCGTGATTTCAATATCAGAAGAAGGTAAAAGTTTTCAAGCTTTTTCAATTTTTGATGAAACTGAAAAACAAAAATGATTTTTATTAAAATACAATTATTATGAATGTTGGGATTTTGTTGCATGGGAAAGGATTTGGAAATAAAAAATTAAATAATAATTTCTTTTAAAAATAGAATTAAAAATCAATGGAAAATTAAGTTAATCATTTATGGTGGCAGACAACTCATTCAATGTCCCATTGATTTGTACATTTGAATTACTCAGCTCTTTTAAATGCTTTCTACATTGGAATCGCTCACTCTTTTGAAATTTAAATTCTGAATTGATTTCAAATTTTGGATTTCAATTTTAAATTTCAAAATGTAATGGTGGGAAAGGATTTGGAAATAAAAAATTAAATAAATAATATTTTCTTTTAAAAATTGAAATTAAAAAATTATGGAAAATTAAGTTAATCATTTATGGTGGCAGACAACTCGTTCAATGTCCCACTGATTTGTACATTTGAATTACTCAGCTCTTTTAAATGCTTTCTATATTGGAATTGCTCACTCTTTTGAAATTCAAATTCTGAATTGATTTCAAATTTTGGATTTCAGTTTTAAATTTCAAATTAGAATGGTGGGAAAGGATTTGGAAATAAAAAAATTAAATAAATAATATTTTCTTTTTAAAAATCGAAATAAAAAATTATGGAAAATTAAGTTAATCATTTATGGTGGCAGACAACTCATTCAATGTCCCACTGATTTGTACATTAGAATTACTCAGCTCTTTTAAATGCTTACTATATTGGAATTGCTCACTCTTTTGAAATTCAAATTCTGAATTGATTTCAAATTTTGGATTTCAATTTTAAATTTCAAAATGGAATGGTGGGAAAGGATTTGGAAATAAAAAATTAAATAAATAATAATTTCTTTTAAAAATTGAAATAAAAAATCAATGAAAAATTAAGTTAATCATTTATGGTGGTAGACAACTCATTCAATGTCTCACTAATTTGTACATTGGAATTACTTAGCTCTTTTAAATGCTTTCTACATTGGAATTGTTCACTCTTTTGAAATTTAAATTCTGAATTGATTTCAATTTTTGGAATTCAATTTTAAATTTCAAATTGTAATGGTGGGAAAGGATTTAGAAATAAAAAATTAAATAGATAATAATTTCTTTTAAAAATTGAAATAAAAAATTAATGAAAAACTAAGTTAATCATTTATGGTGATAGACAACTCATTCAATGTCCCACTGATTTGTACTTTGGAATTACTCAGCTTTTTTAAATGCTTTATACATTGGAATTGTTCACTCTTTTGAAATTCGAATTCTGAATTGATTTCAAATTTTGGATTTCAATTTTAAATTTCAAATTGTAATGGTGGGAAAGGATTTGGAAATAAAAAATTAAATAAAGAATAATTTCTTTTAAAAATTGAAATAAAAAATCAATGAAAAATTA